GAAAATCACAAGCAGGCTCCGCGCTACCTGAGCAGAGCCCAATGTGAGGCTCAAACCCATGAAACTGAGAGATCATGACCTGAGCTGAAACCAAGAGTCAGACACTTAACAGACTGAGCCACCCAGGCACCTCTCCATATTCCTGTTTTAGTGCCTTGGCCTGCTTTTCCTTTTGATAAAATTAAATCCAGGGAGTTTTAATAAAATTACTAAATTTTCCACTAAGTTGTTAACACCTACTCTTTATATATAATTTATATTTGTCCCTCTGCTTAGCTGTGTCTGGCACATCACAGGACCTTGATTGTTTTTCAAAATATGGTTCTTGTCAATAAGAGTCATGAAAGACACTCAATATTTTTAATAATAAAAATTCAGCATACAGAATACAAGGCAGAAGACAGCGGGAGGAAAAGCCTATATATGAAATAAACATAAGGGAGTTGGGAAAGAGAAAAGCTCTCCTCTCCACTATGCAGATTTCTTCCTCCAAAAGAAGAAATTCAGAGCTAATTATCCTTTTTTTAGATCATGATAGAGACCCAAAAGTGTGGATCCTATTGTGAACAAGCAATAGACATTTGAGGAAATCTACCAGCATGAAAGACAGATAGACACTAAGGTGGGCAGGGAGGGGGGGAATAAAAGTTGACTACAGATGTATCAGATATAATGCATGGGGGAGAAAAGAATCACAATAAGTCTTACTTTTAGCCTCAAAACATTGCATCCTTAAAATAAAAATGGATTAAAATAGAAAGTCAAAGAATAAAAAGATCTAAAAATATGATTGCTAAAATGAAAAATTCCACAGAAGAGCTGGAAGATAAACTCAAAGAAATCTCAAAAAAACAACAACAAAATAACAGATACAACATATGAGAGAAAAAAGACAGAACAGGTTCAGATTCATCCTTAAGAGTTTCAAGGGGAAAAAAGAGGAAAGAGAAAACTGAATAAAGCATGATCAACATAATAATTTGCAAAACTTTGCCAGAGGTAAGGGCATGCATTCCCAAATCAAAAGGACCACTGAGTGCTCAACTAAAGAAAGATTGTTTAAAATACCATAAAATCCTCCAAGTAACAAGGCTAAGATTCTAAACAACTTTTAAAAGGAAACAAAAATTCCACATCTAAAAAGATACACCATTATGAAAAGAGAAGCTAGGGGCAGCTAATGAATTTTTTCAAAAACCTGAGAGATAAGGTTTCCCGACCCAAAATTTTACACCAAGGCAAACTATCGATTTTGTGTAAAGGCAAAATGAAAACATTTCAAGAAATGTTTCTCAGAACAATGAAATCTGGCCATGTGTAGCATCCATCCATGGATGGACCTTGAGGGTGTTATGCTGAGCGAAATAAGTCAGGCAGAAAAGGACAAATATCATATGTTTGCACGTATAGGAGGATTAGGAGGAACTTGACGGAGGAACAAGGGGGAGAAGAAGGGGGGAAATGGTGGGGGAAAGGGAGAGAGACAAACCATGAGAGACTCTTGAATGCTGACAAAAACTGAGGACTGATGGATGTGGGGGGGAGGGGGGGATGGGCATGGAGGAGGACACTTGTGGGGATGAGCACTGGGTGTTATGTGGAAACTAATTTGACAATAAACTATTTGTAAAAAAAAATAAATGTTTCTCAGAAAAAGTTACCTAAAACATTCTTCCATAGAAAGTTACTTAAGGATTATCCAGGAAAAGAAGGTTGCAAATTAAATGTCTGGTAAGGTAATCATGCAGCTTGGGATATGGTGGCTCTGATCCAAAAAGTGGTAAAGGGCAGTTCCGGGACGACAAATGTGCTGGAAACCCAAGTAACTGGTCAAGATTGGAAGAGAGAGAAAAATAGAATAACCTAGAAGGACAATCTCCAGAAAAATGTAAAAAACAAAAAACAAAAAAAAATTATAGATTAGCTGATAAATAAGAACTGAGAATATCAAAAACGATGGAAGGGGCATCTGGGTAGCTCAGCTGGTTAAGCGTCTAAATCTTGGTTTCCACTCAGGTCAGGATCTGACGGTTTGTGGGTTCAAGCCCTACATTAGGTCCCATGCTGACGGTGCGGAGCCTGCTTGGGATTCTATCTCTCTTTCTCTCTCTGCCCCTGACCTGCTCACTTGCTCACTCTCTCTCAAAAGAAATAAACGTAAAAAAAATTTTTTTTAAATAATGGAAGGAAGAAAGGAAAATAAGGGAGACTCAACAGGTAGGGGGGGATGTGGGAGGAAGCCATACCAGAAAGGAAATATAATAATAGAATCATAGTTTGTTCTACAGAGAAAGAAAGAAAGAGAGAAAGAAAGAGAGAAAGAAAGGGAGAAAGAAAGGCAGAAAGAAAGGCAGAAAGCAAGAAAGGCAGAAAGAGAGAAGAGAAGAGCCATGAAGTTGTAAATATACATAATTGATTCAACTAAAAATAGTAAAAGAACTACATTGGAAATACAGAGAGGAGAAGAAGGAGCCAATATAAGAGTTAAAGTCTCCTCTTTATCATAAGAGAAAGCTCATGCATAAGGTTTAAAGTCAACGAATCGAGTAATATAAATACAATATTTGGAGACACGGAGGTAAGTACCAAAAGAGACACGTAAAGTAATCAAACATGGGTGCAGGGTTAGAGAGGAGAGGATGGGAAAAATCAGGCTGGGGGCTGTCATTCTTCCTTATGTCTTTCAATCCAATTTGATATTTGTAAAGCAGAAGCATTTATTACTTTGATTTAAATACTTTTAACTATCAAAAAGGCAGAAATCATTCCCTTTACTCCACAAAGTGAATGTTGTGTGTCGGGGTAAGGAGCTTTGAAACACGTGTGGGTCTAGAGCTAGAACGAGATCAGTTGCCATGGCAACTCTGCGGCAGTAAAGGGAGAACGTTTATAAACACCTACTGTAGGGGAGTGGCTGTGTTTAGAGACATAAAGGGCCACTCGAAGAAGAATGATGCCTGCGTACCTGAAACAACAGCTCTCAGTCATGCCAGTGGGTTGCTGTCACCAGTGAGGAGGAAAATGAGAACCAGCCCGATCTCCCCGACTCTCCAGAGAGTTGGAAACCACCGTCATGAGTGAGGTTTAGCTTCTTTTAATGTTATCAAAATCTAAAAACCAAACCCAAATAGAAACTTTCTTATGTGAGTATTTCTGGGAATGGGATCAATTCCCCTTATTATTACTATATAAACAAAGGCTTTCCATCTGTCAGGTCTAATAGTGACAATAATGACTAATGTTAGATTAGGAGAGTTTTTTTTACATTGAAAACTTCACTCACCAAGCACTTCTCTATCCCTGATTTCATCTGACTCACAAAATAGCCTGAGCATATAGGTAATGCAAAGGATCACTGCAATCACCCTCTTTATTACTGAAATAGGAGTTTCACCCTCTTTTTTTCTGAAATAGGAGTTTCAGAAAGTGACCTGCACAGTTTATACAGCTAGTTAAGTGGAGCAAGGGCTCTAATGTTCAACTGTGTCCCGATTCCGCATTTCCAATCTTTGCTATCACATGCCTGAACTGCAAGCTGACCTACTAATCAGTATTAACTGACTGCCCACACACAGGGCTACCAGGAGTTTACTCTGCAAGTTGTGGCCAACAAACACAAAGGCAGCCATTCAGGTACTGGGTGGGACTGAGACCCACTCTTCCCTCCTCCCACCAACACTACTCCCTAGTTCAGATGTGAGCCTTTTTATAATTTGCACAAAGGTACCCGTTATGTAATGAGGAAGTTCTGCCCACATACACAAATTAACAAGTTCACCACCGCACCTCCCTCCTTTCTCACCTCCCTCTAACAAGCCCCATCTCCGGCATTGACCATCAAATGGAAATCCTCATGTTGGCTTCTGTCTCACAACAGAAGACACATCAAATCCACTAATTCAGTAAAATAAACATGAGAGAGACACCTATATGTTAGGGCCATTCTAGGCACTAGGCCTGTAGTGGTTAACAAGGGCCCTAATCTCACAGAGCTGATATTTCAAGCAAAAGAAAGACAAACCAATGTAGGAGAAAAACATTAGAAGGGATGAGTGTTACATTCAGAATTAAAATTAGCTAGCATAATAGTGATTGAGCGGCTTGCTTAAATGAGGGTAAATCAGGAAAGTTCCTCTCCAGGAGGTGCCATTTAAGTTGATACTAAGAGGATAAGAGAAAACCCACCAAAGGAAGGCCAAGGGAAAGAGGGTCTCAAGAAAAGGAAACCGCCATTGCAAAGCCCTAGGGCAAGAACACACTGGATCCATTCAGCAGGAATGGTAGAGAGTCTGGGTGGCTGTGCACTGAGGATGGTGAGTGTGGCTGGGGGAGGAAGTTATGTGAGGAGGCAGGGGTCAGCTTGTAGCGGAGCCTGTGTACTTGGATTCTATTCCAAGTACAGGGGGAGAAAGAAATTAAGAAGGCGAGTAACGGGTTCCAATCCACCTTTTACAAAGGCTCTTTCTGGATGTTGTGCAGGGAATGGAATCTAATGGGGAAAAGAGGAAGGCTGTGGTCGCCTTAAGGAGACCTGGGGTTGGTTGTGGGATATCTCATGTTCCTGAAGCTGCCGAACTGTTCAAGCTGCACCAGAGACTACACTAGCACGTGAGACCTCCTCACAGATCTGTGTCACTCTGTTGGGAGCCTAAGACCACAGGAAGAATGGTCATGGAGAACAGAGAACTGGTCTCTGCCAATGTCTGCCTCATTTGCTCTCTGAAGACCCCCTGGCATCCTCAGGTGGACCAAGTTGTTCAGCTTTTCTGTGCCTCAAGCACCTGGTGCCTATGTCTTTAGGCATACTCTACACCATGCACACGTCGTCCACTCCACAGAAAACGAGTTCTGGGAGGGCCGTCCCTCGTCCTCACCATCCCTGTGTCCCTAATTACCAGACACCCAGTACTCCACAAAAGTGCAATAATCAACATCTGATGGGATGTCTGATGCAAGAAATGCATCCTGCAAGCAGGACGCCCCAAGCCCCAGCCCCTTACCTCCTGGGTGAGTCAGGGTCGAAGCAGGTCTTGCGCACATCAGCCACCTCGGGGTCGCAGCAGTCCCCGTCGTCAAAGTCGTTCAGCATGTTGTTGCACTCCACGTGGCAGAGCCCATCCCTACGGTTCCAGGAGTAGCACCGGCCATGCAGCCGGCAGTCGCCCCCGTCATAGCCCGTCAGCGGGTGCTCACACTCAGGGTCACAGTGGTCATTGCCGATCTTGCTGGGCTCACAGTTCACAAGCACGACCCGGTGGCGCAGGGTGGAGTTGTGGACCTGGTGGACGCTCAGCTGCCAACTGATGTTGTAGCGGCTGAAGGCATGGTTGAGCGCCTTGTGCTGCCGGCTGATTTGCTCCTCACTCACGGTGGGGTTCAGGCCCTCATCGTCACAGATGTTGACCACTCGGTAGCGGATCACCTTCTCCCCCTGGAGGGGCCGGTGCCCATTGTAGTGGGAGATCAGCTCCACATTGTCACAAGCCGTCCGTCCACAGAGAGGGGGCTTCAGGGGTGAGAGAATCTCAGGCTCAGGCTCAAAGCCCTGCAGAACCTCACGCCATGGGAATTCCCCATCTCTAAAGGGGGCCCACTGTTCTTCCAAGGGCTCAAAACTGGCTGTCAGAATCAGGGTGGCCAATTCCTCCTCTCCAGCTGGGTGCTGAGGACTGTGCTGGAGATAGCTTTGTGGGAGGGCGGTCGACCAGAAGACCAGGGTGCCGAGGTGTCCACGAAAATAGTGGCCATCCTCTGAGCTGTCTCCCCCCAGAAGCAAAGAGCGACAGGATGCCATGAAGGGGCTGTTGAGGGGACCAGACTGCTCTGGGCTACTGGCCACCCGAGTGCCATCCACATACAGGGCCATACGCTGTCCATCATAAGTGGCTGCCACATGTGTCCATGTGCCTGGTTGGTAGCGACTGTGGCCAGTCACAATGGTGGCTTTTTTCACACGGTCGGTGCGAAGGGAGAAGAAGAAGCGAGCGTCCCGCCTTCCCATGTCCTTCCCTGAGCGGATCCCTAGGGCCCAGCCCTTGTCACTGACAGTGTGGGAGCAGTTATCAAAAACACCTGGGAAAGAAGGAAGAATCGAGGGGAGAAATACCAGATACAAAGGGGATGGAGAAAGGGAGAAGAAAACCCATATAAATAGTAAGAATGTAGGTTTTTAGTGAGAAAAAAAAAATCAGTGACACAGATTCCCCACCTGAGATGCCTGTTCAGTACCCCATAGCAGGCCATTCTGGCAACTTCTATCCCCAAAAGGAATCTGATTTGAGATTCGATCATATTTAACTTATCTGGTATTTTCCAGTCATCAGAATAGAAGCGAAAAAGATGGTATCTAATGCAAGTGACAAATGTGCTCTAGAATTTGTCACAAATGTTCCTCTTGCTGACTGAGTCCACATCTTCCCCCACTTCCTCAGAAGCCACAGGGTGGGGGCAGTCACAGTTTCTAAGAAAGATGTTCATCTCCCACTCCTTCAGAAGATCCTTTTTTCTCATTTGAATATTGAAATGATGGTTCTCATGGGGGGCAGTAAGGAGTAGGTGAATCGGGAAGTCCCTCAAAGAGCACTGTAACTGACATCATTCCCGGCCCACTCTTCCCTCTAGTGCATGGACGCCCATCCACAGTGAACAGCTGTTCCCCAGATTCTGCACTGCCCCACAGTCCCAGACTGAAAAATAGTCAACATGGTTATAAGAGTGATTGTTCTATAACCGGTGATGCCTACCACGGTATAGAAGTGAAACTTTACCAGATAAACGAAGCTTAATTCCATGCCACCTGCTACCTTACCGTAGCCTTACTTACTGAGTAAACAAAGAAGGGGCTACTTTTGGACAGTTAGATCATTAATATGTTGGAAGCCAGAAAAAGAAGTCAAATCAAACACAACCACAGATAAAAGAGGAATCTCGAAGGCAATTTGGACGTCTTGAATGCTCCCAGAAACCCATCTGCAGTTACGAACCCACCATCCCTTCCCAGCACCTCTTGTACTATGAGTATGTAGGTAGAGTCTCAGGAGCAGATTTTACTTGTAAGTTACACAGAGGCACCATATTCACATAAGAAATGCTTCATAAACACTTCTGTAAGTAAAGAATAAACAATGGAGAAGTCCGCTAGCCTTTGGATCACATATCTGAGGCCAACAGCAAAAGGTATTCTCCCCCAACCTGGTTTATAAGAACTGTATTTCTTCCTCTGAGCTCCTACACAATCCACCCAAACAGTAGTGTTCTATGGACAGTCAGGACTTAAAAGCCATGAGGCCTCCTCTTCTGATTTCAGCCAAGTGTTTTAAAAGAAGTCACTACGTTTTTATAAATGCTAGAAAACTTTTACTTCTGTGTCTAGCATAAAACACTAACTTGTGATTAAAAAAAAGAGAGAGAGAGAGAGACAGGGGCACCTGGGTGGCTCAGTCAGTTAAGCATCCAACTTCGGCTCAGGTTTAAGCCCCACATCAGGCTCTGTGCTAACAGCTCAGAGTCTGGAGCCTGCTTCGGATTCTGTGTCTCCCTCTCTCTCTGTCCCTCCCCTACTCGCTCTCTCTCTCAAAAATAAACATAAAAAATTTTTAATAAAAATAAACAAGACATTCTTTCTAACGAAAGCAACTCTAACAGACTCTGAAGTACTGGTGAGGGGTATATGCAATGGTGATGTTCCAGTTTTGTTTGTTGAGGGGGGTGTTGTTTTCACACTGAGGTCTGTCTGGTAAGGGAGCATAACAGACTTATGCTTTAACGGATTCTTATACTGGACAGACTTTCCAAAGGGCAGACAAATCTAGTAAGATCAATAGTAAGTCCCCTCCTTCAGAGCTTCAGTTTGGTTAACTTATTTTCATGAGCCCATGTAGCCTTAATTATGTCCATCTGCTGACCTATGAACAAATGTACTAAAATATTTAATATCAGGACCATGGAGTTACTAATCTCTTAACTAGTAAATATCTGCTGGCTTTTAAAAGGGAGAATTGGAAAGGCTATTTCATATTTGTTGTGCATAAATAGATGTTTCTACAGATCTTTCTTGACTTATGACGGGGTTACTTCTTTGTCAACCCATCCTAGGTTGAAAATGCATTTAATATACCTACCCTAATGAATATCACAGCTTAACCTAGCCTACCCCCTACATCTCAGAACACTTACCTACATTAGCCTACCGTTCAGCAAAATCATCTAACACAAAGACTGTTTTATAATAAAGTGTTGAATACCTCATGTAACTTACTGAATACTGCACTGAAAGTGAAACACAAAATGGTTATATGGACACAGAATGGCTGGGAGAGTATCAATTGCTTACCCTTGTGATCATGGGACTTACTGGAGCCACACCACTGCCGCCCAGCATCACGAGAGAGTATTGGATCATCTACTGCTAGCCCGAGAAAAGATCCAAGTTCAGAATTCAAAAAGTACAGTTTCTACTGAATGTGTGTCACTTTCACAACGTCATGAAGTCAAAGAATTATAAGTTAAGTGCTGCCTGGGTGGCTCAGTTGGTTAAGCCTCCGACTTAATCTCAGCTCAGGTCATGATCTCACAGTTGATGACTTAGAGCCCCATGTCAGGCTCTGTGCTAACAGCATGGAGCCTGCCTGGGATTCTGTCTCTCCCTCTCTCTGACCCCTCCCCTTCTCTCTCTCTCACTTTCTCTCTCCCAATAAATAAATTTTTAAAAAATCATAAATTGAACCAATATAAATCAAGGTCTGTCTATATGTGAGTTGAGGTATAAATTATTAGGTTTCATATGTATATTACCAGATAATTTATATTTGGCATCAAGTTGCAATTTTGAACACTTTTACTTACTGTTCTTAGGATTTCCATCTTAGCATCAATAAAATAATTGCTTCTACTTATTTATCTCATAGGAAGCTATAAAATTATTAACTGTGTCTAACATGGTATTTCTAACTTCTTGGTAGATGACACAGAAGACGTAATTTTGTCACACTAGTCTAGATCTGATTAATCCAGTGTTAGTAATTATACTAGAAAAGATTTATTCAACAAAAGCACTAAAATAGTCATTTTAGTTGGGAGCTGTAGCAAATACAAGCATTACATTTTAAATGATTACAAAAGTAATTACACTTTGCTCTCTAATGTAATAAGATGTCCAGGTGGCATGAGACACCTCACCCAGTGCTGAGATGACTGCATTTTATTTGCTGTATCACACTGTTCATACTTCATCTATAGAAAGAGAACAGGTTTGAAGCACTACCCTGCACTCATTCCATGCACCCCCAAAAAAAGCATTATTTAGCAAATAGAATTCTCTAACCCAATTATTATGGGCTCGATATTTGTATTCCCCTAAAATTCATATGTTGAAAACTGAATTCCTATTGTGGTGATATTTGGAGGATGGAGCACATAGGAGGCAACTGGGCCCTGAAGATGGAACCCCATGATGGGACTACTGTCCTTTTTTTTTTAATGTTTATTTTTTTTGAGAGAGAGAGACAAACAGAGCTTAAGTGGTGGATGAGCAGAGAGAGAGGGAGACACAGAATCTGAAGCAGACTCCAGGCTCTGAGCTGTCAGCACAGAGCTCAACGTGGGGCTCGAACACATAAACCACGAGCCGAAGTCAGATGCTTAACTGACTGAGATACCCAGGTGCCCTTGGATTAGTGTCCTTTAAAGAGGAAGAAGAGAGGGGCACCTGGGTGGCTTAGTCGGTTAAGCGTCGACTTCAGCTCAGGTCATGATTTTGCAGTTCATGAGTTCGAGCCCCGTGTCAGGCTCTGTGCTGACAGCAGCTCAGAGCCTGGAGCCTGTCTTCTGATTATGTGACTCCCTCTCTCTCTGATCCTCCCCTGCTCATGCTGTCTCCCTCTCTCTCTCTCTTTCTCTCTCAGAAATAAATTTAAAAAAATTTTTTTAATAAGAAAAGAAGAGGAAGAGAGCTAGCCCCTTCTGCTCTCTGCCATGTGACAGTGCAAGGGAGGGTCATCTGCAAACACGTTAGTTAGAGGATTCTCACCAGACACTGGATATGCTGGCATCCTGATTTTACACTTCCCGGCCTCCATAGCTGTGAGAAAGAAATTACTTTTCCTTAAGCCACCTAGTCGATGGGATATTTGTGACAGCAACCCAAACTAAGACACCAAGGTTATCAGCCATACTGCAGACCTAAACCCCATGTGAAACTTCTGCAAATATACGTTCTGCGGCTACTCCATATGTTTACAAAAGAAGTCCATCCTCTCACTGCTGCCTAGTGTATGGAAATGCAGAAGACAGAAGTTGGGACTCATAGTATTTTCCAGTCAGTGAAGAAGAACTAGAAAGACGGTTATCAAAGTTAAATCAGACATGAAAGTGGAAAGCTCATTTGAAACTGCTTAAGCCATTTACTTAAAGAGTCCCATCTGATCAGGCATTTTAGGACAACCTGTGCAAGCATCGCACGTACTTGCTCATTAATTCAGCAAACTAACGGAATGAGAGGCAGCTAAAAGAAATAAGGGCTTGCTAGGAATAGCACACAGATATGATATTGACAGAGAATGTAGTTACCTGATGGTCTAGGAACTGATCATTAATTGGGGCTTTGTATTATCTCTAAGAAAACTCATATTTAAGACCACTGAAATGAAAATAAATATCCCATGCTCCCCGTGAAAGACCTATTATTCTAAAAGAAGAAACTGTGGCACTGAAGCATGGTGTGGCTTACATCTTCCTTATAATCACTGCTGTCGGCCCCAACTTCTTTCATGAAATCTTGAGTCCGTCCTTGTGAGGATTTTCTAAATTCCCAAGGACAAAGTAAGTAAATATCTCTGTCCTCCCATATCGTCTATAGTCCATACTAGTAACCATCCTTTCCTCCAACGTGGAGGACGTGGACAGAAAATTATAATCCTCTTCTCTCTTGAGACTGAATAAACCAGTATAGTAGGGCTAAAACTGCAGTCTCTGCTCAAATATAGATATAACCCCACCACTGAACCTGTAACTTGAAGCTCCACACTTCAGCCCTAGCTAGTGGGGAGAGGATCATGCTTAGTTGCTTGGAGGAC